GATTCTTTTTTTTTTTTTTTTTACGTTATACCTCCCCTCCTCTGCAAGAAATAAGAACAGCTCAGTTACATGGGATATCTGCCTTAAAGTCCGTAGTTATCACATTAAGAAGAATTTTTAAATCGGTTTAAGTGTGTTAGTAGTCCCTTCTTCTAATCTGAAAATTAACAACTTTTGTTTTCAAGTATTTTCAAAGAAACAAATAGATAAACAGGTGCAAATAATTAAAACAAAATTAATTTAACTGGAAAGAATAGTTTGGATTTCAGCTGCTGTGTTCAGTTCGTGTTTTAACTAAAAAAAATTAAAGTTAAAAATTGAAGCTTGTGTTTGATATTAATTAAATTTACTACTTTCACGTGTTTATATCGGCAATCCTTTTTATCTTTCGTGATTTTTTTTTTTTTTTTTTTTTAACCTGATCTAGGTTTTACTTTTTAAGATAAATATAGCAACAGTATTTGACATTTAAAGATACATACACTCACACAATTGTCTACTAATGTTTACGGGGAAAAAAAAAAATGAAAAACAAGGAAACAAACAAAAGCGTTTAAATTTAAATGATCCAATCAATTAAACAATAACTTAATCATTTAAAATTTATCTTATGTAATTTTGACCTTTTTCATTTCTTGAAAGGCCAGGGGCGATCTGACGAAAATGCGCTCAAACATCCAGCAACCATTCTTTTTTTTTTTTTAAAAAAGCAACTGCAAAGACAATTATATATCAAAATAAAATAAAAATACCATAAGTTTTTATGAGTAATGTATTTTCAACTATAATCCCTCAACTATAATAAGTATAAACATTTTTATAGATATTTCAGAATGACTAGATAAACAAATAAAAATAGTAAAAAGTTTTTACTATTTTTACTAAAAACAGATGTGAAAGATAAAGCATATTTTCACGTTTTGTTTTTTAAATGCTAAACTCGAAACCGAGATGATCTGAAGTAAAAAAAAAAAAAAACCCATCGTGCAGCAATTTCCAAAAATTGTAGAATTCACGAGAACTTAAATAGCTTATAAAAGAAATACTACAAAAAAAAAAATACACTGAAAAAAAATGATAATGCTGATGATATATCGGTTTTACTTTTATTCAGGAAACTATAAACTATAAAAGTGAAGGCTGCTAATAAGTAAAGAAAACAATGAGTTTTTGCAACGATTTTCTTTATTTCATATTAAACAAGGATTTAATCCGGTTGTACATTACAGAATTTGCCTCATGATTTCTATGATCACGAAGTAGTAAATAAACATTGTTCACTAACAGTTAAATAAAAACACCCTTCACAAAAAGTAACACTTATGTTTCTATAGTACATATTTATCCTCGAGACAAGGAACTAATAAATAAATGTTCATATTCAAATTAAAAATATAAAATTAATTGTTTTAAAAAGTAAAGATGTAAAAAGAAAAGAAAGAATCTATCCACGTCTTTTTTTTTTATTTAAAAACTGAAGAAGCGACACAGACACACACACACACACTCTCTCTCTCTCTCTACAAAAAAAAAATCTTTTCTTGGGGTGAGAGGGTATCGATAAACTAGAGACGAGAATTTATCAGTTAAATCATACTCAACCAAAATGCATAAAAAAGAATATTGATTGACTTATATGGCCAAAGAATAAAGATCATAATTAATTCAACTACAACTTAGACTTAGCGTAAATTCTACCAATTAATTAGCAATAGTTCTATCTAAAATAAAAATGTTATTTAATTACTACATGTCTATTAGTTTCCATATTTTTCTCTTAGTTATATTAACAATGAAAATTAACCAAGCAATAATGTATTGCTGTGTGCACACAAAATTGAATACATTTTGTGTACACACAACAATTATGAAATAAAGAAATCGAATATAGACCAAAATTATAATGCGTAAAATAAATTAAGAAAAAGGAAAATTTACTTCCATAAATAAAAAAAAAATTATCTGTTCTTCATTTTAAACTCCAACCTCCAAGGAAATGAATGGTTATTATACAGAATGATGGGCCATGTTCTGCAGAAACTTAGAAAAGATTTTAGTTTTTGATTAAAAAGAAAGAAATCCAAAACATTACAAAAAATAAAATAGTGTAATGCCTAACGAAAATGAAAAAAATATCGAATTTTCTTTTAAATAAAATATTTCTATGACAAAAAGAATGTCATGGCCATAAAAAATAGTTATATCGACATTAAAGGTTACATCACAAACACGAATATTAAAAAGACCACAAAAAAGAAAGAATTTTAAAGGTCATTAACGAATAGTACACTACAGCTAAACGTCGGCAACTATTATTAAGGAAGTAATCGTAAAAAATAAAAATAAAATTTAAAAAAAGTAAACAAAACAACCAAAGATTTGTAGCAAATGTGTTAACCTAAAGATTAAAGTATTATTATTATTTGTTGTAAAGAAAGATTGTCAATAATCGTCCAATGATCCACAGCTGTTGCATGAGCGGAGATAAAAAACGTTACACCTCATCAAATATTTTATTTCGGTTAGTTTTAAACAAATTGCTTTAAAAATTATAATTAATTTTATATATAAAAAAAACATTTTTAATTTAAAAAAAAAATTTATTATTTATTGTGAAGAAAATTAAAAAAATATCTTCGTTTTTTAATATAGTCCAGTTTAAAAGAGTTGATTTGATATACAGAAGAGAAAATATTGGGAACCGAATAACAACTGACAATAATGTTCTCGTTAATTCAAAAATAATTTCCGAAATGTCATTACAAGTGAGATGTAATCTCGGGGTGGTGTCGACAGAAACAAGTGATCCATCCGAAGTGAGGAATGTTTCTTCGTGAAGTTTAAAAAGCTGTAAAACTGAACACAGTTTTGAATGAAGTTGCCAATGTTTCATCAGCAAATCTCCAATAGAACTAGAGTACGCGAGTGTTATTGAATCATTCACCAAGGAAAAAATAATAAACACTGAAAATCTTAAACTTAATATTTTGAGAATAATTGCACTGACAATCTCTAACTCCTTAGGATGGAGACATGAAAGATTAACTTTTAGATTTAAGAAGAAAATTTAAGTAAGATAAAGATCAATTAAACTTTAAAAAAAAAACAAAAAAAACTCAAATGCACTTTGTTAATCGTAAATAAACCAGCGATGATAATTTGTTTTATTTAGCGACAGTACAGAGCTTCAGCAAATTGTCAACAACGGAAAAAAAAAATACGGGATTGAGAAAGATAGCTAACTGTTCAAATTTAGGGAGCTTTTTAGGTTTTGAAAATGAGTGGAGATAACCCCGGGATCGGAGCTACCATGACAAAAAAAAACAAAAAAAAAATTTCTCTTGACACAGGAATTATTACTATTACACAGAATATCGCCAATTTCCTCTCAGTAGTGAGAAACGTTTTAAGTCGGTTGCAAAGAGACCAATTCAAATGAAATAAAGAAAAATGAGTCTGATGACAAACCAAGTTTCGTCGGAAAAAAAAGATATAATTAATATTAAAAAATCAAGAAAAATAAAAAAAATACTAAAAATAATTAAATAAAAGCTGATCATTTATCCGTTAGTTAATGCGCAAGATTTGAAAAAAGATTGTATTTAAAACATTAAAAAAAAAAAAAAAAATGGAACTTTCAGTTAATTCTCGTTTCGAATCAGGAGGCTAGTGAATGGAAACGAATTTCCGAAAAGCAAGAAACCTACCACAGCACGTTTCCACATCGTCTTTCCTTTATTAATGCTTGCTATTTTCAACGTCAGTGACAAAAATCAGAATCTGAATCAGTGAATCCCCAACCATGGGTTATCTTAAAAAAATAAAGAAGGGATTCCCGTTCTTATTCCTATCAAGTAAAAAGACAGCAACGTTCATAATTCACTCAACCTCCATCGGTTACTATAGTATTGACCCCTTCCTTTCTCTTGGGTGAAGTTTTTTTTGGAAAAAAAAAAAAAAAAAAGCATCCCCAGTAAAACTAAACTAAACACTAGCGATAAAAAGGCGCTAATGAAAAATAAAAGAAACTGGTTAAAACAAAACAAAATAAATACAAAACACTCTAGTATTTCAAAAACGAAACCGACCACTGATCAGTAAATTAAACCGATAAAACGATTTTTTCCAAATAAATGCCTTCAGTAAAAGTTGAAGTTAAAAAAAAAAAAATGGTAATGAATGGAATGAGTTGAGTGCACCGAAAAAATTACTTTACCAATATAAAGGCCTCACTTCATTATTTAAAAACATACGCCCACCTTTTCATGTTCAATTTACAAAAGATTGCGCAAGGAAATCGGTTATATTGCTCAAGTGACAATAAAACAAAATAACTCCAACAACTTTTAAAACATATCTTCATTATGTTTAGCAAAATGGAGGCTAAAAAATCGGGATGAACTTAAAAAACTGCGTAAACATTCTCACAATTTTTATTACTGTGAAAGAAAATGCGGACAAATTGTGAAACGTAGGAAAAATTGTCAACATAGAAAATGACATCAATCTGACATATCTGAACGATGAATTCTTAAAAAGAATAGTCACAAGAAGATCAAAGATAATGAAAATAAAAAGGTGATCAGTAAATCCAGTTTTAACATTTAAATTTTAAACTAAAGTAAAACTATTCTAGTAAAAAACAAACCAGAAAACTTCTGAGTCACTAATACCGATAAATACTTGTTTAATGCGGAAAATAAATCTGGCAGATATTTTTTTTCTTTTACGTAAGCACATTTTAATTTACAAGGAAAATAAGGTAAACAAATATAGACAACTATCAGAAAGTATTTTTGCAACAATAATAATAATAATAAAGCAATATACGTTAGTGTTTTTTGGTTGTTTTAAGAAAATCTTTTGAGGAGGCAGAAAATTTAGCTCCGTGGGTAGCAGAAGAAATGGAAAACGAAGACAGACAAAAAAAAAATGAAATAAATGCTCGCCAACTCAACTCATTAATAAAGCATCAAAGTGAAATCTTAAAGTGACTTAACTTTAACAAGAGCATTGTTGAGGGAAGGCGTCCGATCGCAGCGGCTTCAAGGGTTGTGATTAATTGCCTTCGACTAGACGACCAAGGGCCGTGCCCCCAACACTGTGTGTGTGCGGGAGAGAGAGGGAGGCGGGCCTAAGAGAGAGAGAGAAAGGGAAGAAGAGACGCAGAGGGAGGGGCGGGCGGGTCGACATGCATGTGCAATAGTGAAAGAATGAACATATCGTTGGGGTGATGATGATGATATCTACATATTCATACACGCACCGACCCGACATGACCATGCGCGCACACATCTGCATACATGCATAATGTCTTATTCGCACTTAAGGGTTTGCTTTTTATGACAAGGCTTTGCACTCGCGACACTATAATGATCATATGATGCAATGAAGAATTTAGGCAAAATCATTTTTTCAAATGTGGTCTAAGGAATTTCTAAACCTTGAAACGAATTCAGTTTGTTAATCTAAACTTGAAAGTTTTGATATCCGATAAAAATAAACCTTTTAGTTTCTCCTAACTGAAAATAATAAATAAAAAGTTATTTTAAGAAAATTAAACAATAATTACAAAATCATTGTACCAAAGAAAGGGAGGAATTTTAAAATCTACGCTCCCTTGAGTGTTTTACAATTTTTGTAGATAAAACAAGCCAAGTCTTTTGGTGATTTCATAGCGGAACTGAAGCTTTTAAATGGTTCTGTAGTTAAGTGTAACGATTTCAACTTGAACAGAGATAAACATTTCAGTACGGTTAAAAACTTGAAAAAGTAGAGAAAAAGGACACACGGCTTATTACTCAAGAGTCAACGATAAGAAGACTAATTTCGGCGCAATCTGAAATTGAGATGAGTCACTGACTATTACTATTATTATTCCACTGACAAGTATCATTATCTTTGGTTTTTCATATGTACCTGAAGAAGGCTGGAGAATATATCAACCGATCTGTCGTTTAAAATAAAGGACAGAAAATCTGAAGTTCGAACAATATTGGCTGGCACAGATTTTACAAATGTATGAAGGCATGTAGAATGAAATACCAACCTAAATGCTAAAAAACTCTCTTTAACTCATCGTCGTTAAACTAATTCAGTGCGTGTGTGAATGCAAAAAAAACAATCGTCAGTCATTCAAAAAAAAGAGACCAAGTTTATTTAGTTTAAAAAAGAAAAAAAGAAGAAAAAAGAGAGGTGATAAAAAATCTTTTTTTCCGGTGCAAAATTTTAATATTTGCACATTGAATTAACTTTTAGTTTTTAATTACTTTACTTTTTAATTCTGAAATCTTTAGAGAACCAACAAACTGAGAGAACACTTGAAATTGGCGATGAAACAATTCTGTATATAGTTTAAAATTTAATTGAAATTAAATTTGAGGATCTTCGTAGAGTAGTAAATAAATTCATCCTCTACGGATCACAATACCTATTGTCTATAAGTAAACTAAAAGCTTTTTAGTTTTTATATATAATATATATATATATATATATATATATATATATATATTAATTTTAGGTAACATGTTTTGTACTGGATCATTTGCTTCAATTTCTATGCTTTGTTTACTTACTTAAGGAATGTAACATTCTGCTTACATTTTCTTCCTAAATACAATAAACGGAGAAATTTTCTCGGCAAGTAAATACTCTAAAAAAAATATGGAACCTTTAGCAAAAAAAAAAATGTCTGTTTTAAAAATATCTCCTTCCTTTGTAGATCTTATTTATTTATTTGATTTCTCTTTGAGTTTTGACGAAAGGATTTCCACAATCATCGGCAAAGGTTGTTCAGTGGGTCACTCACTGTCCCGCATTTGTCTCTTAAACTTGTATCGAACACTACTGTTTTGATTTGTTTTATGATGGAAGAATGTTTTTTGGTTTGGATATGAGTAAGTAAAAAAAAAAAGAAGTCCCTGTTAAATGTTGTGTTAAGGGACAGAAGAAAAGCAGGGGCCGCAGTAGCAGCAACCATGGTAACATCGTCATCCTTGTCGTAGCTGTAAGTGGCGAGTGGGAGATGTTGCAGAAGGATTAGCCGGACATGCCAACAAAAAACAGTAAAAAATAACAAAACGAAAAAGAAGGCAGAAGACGATCAATGGAAATTCTGGAATTCGGCTTAACACTATTATATAGCCAATGCCAGAAAGACATTTTCTATTGAAGCTATGGGCGAAGAAGAGTAAATATGCGATTTTTGAAAAAAAATCTAAAAATCAGGGAGAGGTTTCTGTGTTTGTTTTATTTTTTTTTTAATTTATTTGCTGAGTGAAGCAAATAAAAAGAATAAATAACAATCCAGTCAAGAAAGAGAGACAAGCGTAAAAAAGTCAATGTTTAAGAAAAAAAGCGGAAAGTGGAAACCACAAAAATCTAAGATTGGAATACAAATCATACTGTTGTAGAGTTTTTTTTTCTTTCCTTTTTTATTAACTAAATTTTTACGGAAAAAACATTAACATTTATTTACTTATTACATGTATTGAATTGTCAAAAAAATGAAAGTAGACAGCTTAAAGTCATAAACTGTCATATTTTCCGAGATCGGCGACTTCAAAGCAAGCAGATTTATTTAACCAAACAAATTTAAAATAGCCGAAAAGAAAAATCTGACCAACTGTTTTTGTTTTTTTTTTAGGTTGTGGCCTTTTTAAGTGATGACGAAGAAAATATTGCTGTGAAAAGCTAATCATAATGGTTTTGAACAATGTTTTTTTGTTTGATTATTTAAATTAAGTGACAGCGATTTTTTAAAACTTCAAGACAGCTTTTAAAAAGATAATTTTTAGGAATTGTCACCAAATATTTCAAGTGTTTGGAAGGTGAGTGAATCAACAAAATAATTCGGTTTTGATCAATTTATTTACTTTTAGCAAAACATAGTCTCTATTCAGATGATAATGTTCAAGTTATGAAATACACACTACTAACGGGATCAAGTCATAAAAAAGGCAAGCTGAAGAAAACTGAGCTGTCCAACAACTGAATTGTCAAATAATGGTCATTCATTGGTCAAGAGAACCTCAAGCAAGAGACTAGTGAAAATTAACAAACAAAACAACTGACGTCCATTTAATGTTGAAGGAAGTAAACTTCTAATTAGAGAGAAATGTTAAAAGCGTGCGAACCAACAAGAAATCGTATCGATCAACCAAGTAAATGTTTGTAAATTGAATCGAAATCAAAATGCCACGCGACTTCCAGTTTGGCACGTGTCTTGTTGGCGGTAGAAACAAATAGATGAGCACAGTGAAATTATAGGAAAAAAAAGTCAGTTGAGAATGATTTATGAAATTACAAATATAGGCGAGGGAGGCTGAAGCTATGTTTCTTCATCATATCTTTTTTACGATCTTTTTTTTTTTTACTCTTTTTTTTAATATTTTTTGTGTGACCGACAAATAAAGTTTGTAATTCGCAGTTTAATTTCCGAGTACAGAGGAATGAATATTTCCTTCGACAATCATTTTCATTTTCAATATTTCAATTTTAGGGGCCTAAATATCAATAAAGAGAGAAAAATGATTTGGAATCACTAAACTAGAAAGAAAGGGCTAACAAACATAGTAATTATTTGATCATATTGGATAAATGAGCGTGTTGCTAGTTTGCCTTAATTAAACTAAACACATGCTATGACAAAATCTGTGAAGAAATTATTTTAAAAACCCAAACGCCATCGGTACTTTGCATTAAGAAGGCGATTATTACATGATGATGATGACGACGACGACAATTATAATAAGCATCTCTAACTCTCGACGACTCAACAATGTTAAGAAACGTTTAAAAAATAAGAAGAGGATCATTTTGGATGAATAAAAAGATCAAATAATTAAAAATGTATTAGAGAGGACATATGATGCATGGCACTAAAAAAAGTCTTCTAGAGAGTAGTTATGGACAAGAAGTGTCTACCTTGACGAAGACGAATAAGAGGAAATAATGTGGCTTTGAAAAGATGACTACCAAGTAACATTAATGATAAAAAAAATAATTAAAAAACAAAACGCGTCTCTCAAAACAAACAAAACAATGAGAAAATGCAGCCAAGGACGAAGGAAAAGAAAGCATTGGCATCGGCTGGGTGGCGAGCCAGGCATGTGTTGTTGTTATTCAACTACAAGGATTCATCATTCCAATGCACCATTTCAGTCTAAATGCAAAACCGGTATGATCACTGGTCGGACGGATACAGGAAATAGTTTATCAATTAATAAAAGCTCTTAACTAGACAGTAAGTGCTGATCACGGTTGATTTGTGATAGTTTAAACAGCAAAAAACAAAAAAATACACTAGGGGGTCAGCAACAAAGGTAATTCTTTCTTCACAATTTTTTACAAGTAGACAAAAACGAATGTGTGTGTACACTACATTGTACTGTATGTGTGTCTAGAGAAGCAATAAAGAGTGTGTATGTTGAAGCGATGAAGATGGCTAGGGTGCCATGCTGCAACCTGTCTGCTGCCACCAACAACTTGGACATTTTTGACCAACAGCAGCTGGTCTGCAACGAGTAGGGCCGATCAGTGATCTTAGACAATCTATGATCCACAAGCAAAGAAAAAGAATTAGAAAGAAAAGCACGCGAAAAAGAATTATTAGAAGAGAGTGCAAGCTTACCCCATGTATAATCCATTCATCGTGGTAGTAGTAGTAGTGGTGGTAATATTATTAATAATAATCTTGGTGTGGGTAAAAGTAGTAGTAGTAGTAGTAAAATGGTGGTATTATGGTTGAAGTGTCAGTGCTGAGAGATCAGCACGCGCTGTCCATTGTATGTGCCTTCTTGTATAAAACTTAGTAGTTTCTTATCCCCGATTCTCTTCCACTTCTTTACTCGACGACACACACCCGCGCGTACTCGCACGTACACATAATAATAGTAATAACAGTGATGATGATAATCAAAATGCAGTTAACAACAACTAGCAGGACCCTACTAGTCGCTGTCGTCGGAGATGGTTATCTTGGGCAGCAGAAGAAATTAGAGGAGGGCTGAGTTATGCCAGTCCATTTTGACTGTTGTGTTGCCAGCAGTAGTTGTTTGACGATGACGACGACGATGATGATTGCTACCTAAGCTTGACGGCGTCGTCAGTGTATTTTGCATCCTCTCTTCACCATTCCCCGGGGCCAACTTGCTGCCTCCGCCGTCGCCTCCTCCTCCACCACTACGCCGTCTCCCCTGCCGCCAACCCGACACCCCTCCACTGACTATGCACTCTTCCGAAATCCAAGCCACATTTTCGAGCTGAGCCAAAAAGAATTATTATCCACATGAAGCCATCAAAAAGGGCAAGTCTATAGGCTGAGGCCTGCAAGACAAAGGAGCAGCCTGCTGCTGCTACAAGACCAGCCCACCATACAACAACAACAGACCAGGGGCCTGACGACCTTAGCAGGACACCCCGGACCCACAGCCACTCAGTAGCCAGCTTCTCCAGGTTGCCAGCACGAGTTAGTGTTGTCTTGAGTTGGACCAACTGAAAACTGCTGCTGCTCTTCTTCCTTCTCTAGTGTAAAGCGCGCGCACATACTCTCTCTCTCCTCAACAGAGTGGAGGAACCTGAGCAGAGTGGACCAAGGCCACCCTCATAACCTCAACTATTACCTAGATGTTCTTCTCCAAGCTAGCTTAGCAGAGGGAGAACAATATGACAATGCTGGCTTGTCGTAGTAGCAGCAGCAATAGGCCGAGTGGTAGCAGCAGCACAAGTAGTATTAACAGTAGTAGCAGCAGCAATCCTGGACCAGTGGTATACATCACACACACACACACACACACACACACACACACACACTAAAACATATCTTGTAAACTGTGGAACGTTGTTCTCATCATAGACCTACACACTTCAAAACACATGGCTTTTGAAGGCGGGCAAAGGAGCAGTGGTGATGGCGGTGGACAGGCTGGCAAGAAGGAAGTCAGGGTGTAGTAGAGACTGCTCTGTCATTAAATTATTGTCTACTCATGTATTGTACGCACACACACACACACACGCACACACACTACCTATACGCATAAAGATTCAGATGCGAAGGTGTCGTCAATTCTGAAGGTGGAATATACACACACGCACATAACAGAACGATGAAAAACTTGAGAATCAAGCTACGTAACATTTATCGAATCTATCCACCACGTCAACTTTCTCACAATATTAGTAATCAGTAGTATCATTACAGACTTTTATGAATAAAACAAAACCATCAATGGAATACGATGACTAGGGTCTGACTGACTACTACTGGCAGATCCAACAGCCGTAACCACTGACGACTGCTAATCGTGTCTCTTCTGTATTGAAAAGAAATAAAAAAAAAAATGTCCACCGAAAAAACAAAAAAAGGAAAAAAAACACAACAGACCATAAACTTGACAATTAGAGAATTCAAAATACTGTTGTGTAACTAACATCAACGAATTTGATTTCAACAAATTACTAAAAAACTGTTTTCACGGTAAACTCAACAACTTTTTTTATTTTGAATTACTTAGACAAGTCAGGGGTGTTTGAACCATAGGTGTTCGTTACTGTTTTGCTTTTTGTTTTTAATCCCTGTTTTGTCTCTTATACGAGGCGCGAAGTCCCATTCATTAGTTAGTATTAAAATTAAAGAATAAAGGTAGAAAAAAAAAACAACAAAAGCTCTAAAAATTAAAATTCAACCACATACACGTCATTAAAAAAAAAAGCTAAAAAATAAAACTAAAAAAGTAAACATTTTATCATAAACAACCGAGTAAGTAAATCTTTGTCATTTATGCACATTTTTTGTCATATAAAGTTGCATTTCCACAATGTTTAGCTTTATTTATTATTTGACACGGTTTTAAATGGAAACTTTTTTTAATGAAGCGAAACTTCTTCAGGAATGATGTAGCTTACAATCCGTTTACTTGTGCAGTAAGATGAAAATATAAATAAAACATGGGTGGATAAATGTTGAAAAGCATCTATGAG